TTCTTAGTCAAGTACTTCTCTCCTTCTAAGACTGTCAAGCTTAGGAATCACATCACATCTATCACACAATTTGAGAGAGACAATCTACGAGGACTAAGAGAAGTTTAAAGAGTTGCTTAGGAAATGTCCCCGCCATGCCTTACCGATCAACTTATCATCTAAACCTTCTATAATGAGCTTGTAGGTTCCCCTAGGTTCCTGATAGATGTTGTTGCAGGAAGATCACTGATTTCCAAACCATATGAGGAGGCTTATGACTTAACCGAGGAGATGGCCTCCAATAGCTTTCAATGGCCTGCTGAGAAGGTGCAACCCAAAAAAGATAGCCAGTGTGCATGAATCGAATGTTTGTCTATCATAGCAACCCAAGTAGCTGCCATATCTAAGAAATTGGATAATCTAATTGTGAATGCAATACAAGGACCATCCCAGGGTGAGGAATTTAGTGATGAGTTCTTGATAGATCCTACAACCTCTGCCTTAGAAGCCCTGAAAGCCATAGGAAACCATAACTATCCCAACAACCCATACTCGAATACCTATAACTCTGGGTGGAAGCAACACCCAAACCTTCAATGGACTAACCAAGTCAATCAAAGGGGTTGGAGCACACAACCAAGTTGCCCAACCACAAAGGCCAACCCAATCCCTGGATTTAACCAACACCAAAACCAAAAGCTAGCCACATCAGAGAAATTAGTGAGATAGTTGCATTTGATAGCACCAAGTCATGGGCTAGCAATCAAGTACATTGAGAGACAATTGAGGCAATTAGTGAACTGTTTCAACCATAGGTACCCAGGAGCACTCCCTAGTAATACTGAAGTAAACCCCAAAGAAAAAGGAAAGAAGAAGGTACAGGCAATAAAACTGACGAATGGGAGAAAGTTAGACGAAACTCCAAGAGTTGTGAATGCCACCATAGATGTGGAATCTGATCTTGAAAAGAAGGAAGAAAGTCCTGCTAAGGAGTTAGAATAACCTGCATCCCCCAAAAATAAAACCTGAGAGACTTCCACCTTCATTCCCTCAAACATTGTAAAAACAAAAACTAGATCAACAATTTTAAAGGTTTTCAGAGGTCTTTAAGAAGTTAACCATAAATATCCCTTTTGTCGAGACCTTGGAAAAAAATGTCTAGTAATGCCAAATTTATGAAGGATGGCTGACCAGAAAAAACAAATTAAAGAATGGAGAGACAGTGGCACTAACAGAGGAGTATAGTGCAACCTTGCAAAAGAAGTTACCTGATAGTTTCACCATTTCTTGTGCCACAGGAAAGAAATTTGTTGGGAGGCTCCTTTGTGACTTGAGAGCAATCATTAACTTGATGTCATTATTAATTTTCAAAAGATTTGAATTAGGAGAGGCCACACCCACCACCTTGACCTTACATCTAACTAACAGATCCTTAGCCTTTTCCATGGGTATCATTGAGGATGTGTTAGTTAAAGTATGAAGCTTCATATTCCATGTTGATTTTGCAGTCTTGGATATGAAGGAAGACAAGGAGATGCTCCTGATCTTGGGAAGACCGCTTTTAGCCACCGATAGGCAATAACCGATGTACAACAAGGAACATTGACCATGAGGGTGAATGATGAAGAAGCAACTTTTGATATCACAAAGTCTATGAGATTTTCCCAAGGTCTAAGTGACAATCATTGCTTTAGGATTGACTTAGTGGATATGTGGAAATTAACCAAACAAAGCAAGAGGAGTTTGGGGATGTTAGTGAGAAATCTAGTGTTAAATCTGCTCTGCTAATAGAGGGCAACTCTAGGAGGTTTAGGTGGAGTTTTGAACCTTTAGACTTGACCTAACACACCAAAACCCTAGCACCATCCATAGAGGTAGCACCTGACATGGAACTGAAAGCCATGCCCACTCACCTGAAGTACACCTATTTAGGAGAACCGTCGACCTTACCTATCATCATATTTGTTGAATTGAGTGTGAAGCAAGAGGATAAGCTCATAATAGCGCCTGGAGCATTTAGAAGCTCATTTGGGTGGACCATAGCCCCTAGCACTATCCAAACTGAATCCCATCTTTAAGGAGGTAGGGAAGAAAGAAATCTTGAAGTGGCTTGATGCAGACATTATCTACCCCATCTTAGATGGTTCTTGGGTCAGTCCAATCCACTGTGTAACAAAGAGAGGGGGTCAAAATTGTTGAAAATGAGACGAATGAGTTGATTCCCACAAGGACAGTTACGGGAAAAGGATTTGCATTGATTATAGGAAGTTGGATGTCGCCACTAGGAAAGACAATTTTCACCTGTCATTTTTGGATCAGATGTTGGATAGGTTAGCAAAACATCGGTTTTACTGCTTCCTAGATGGATATTCAGGATACAACCAAATCCCTATAGCCCCAAAGGACCAAGACAAGACCACCTTCACTAGCCCCTATGGAACTTGTCTTTAGGAGGATGTCATTAGAACTATGCAATGTGCCAACCAATTTTTAGAATTGCATGATGTCAATCTTTTCTGATATGATAGAGGAGCATTGAGGTTTTCATGGATGATTTTTCTGTGTTTGACACTTCGTTTTATTCCTACCTAAGCAAGCTTGCAAAAGTTTTGCAAAAGTGTGTGGAAACAAATTTGGTGTTAGATCGGGAACATGTCAATTGATGGTGACTGAAGGGATAGTCCTAAGCCACAAGATTTCTTAGAGAGAAATGGAAGTTGACCCTGCCAAGATTGAGGTGATTAAAAAGCTTCCACAGCCTACCACTGTGAAAGAAGTTAATAGTTTTCCAGGGCATGTTGAATTTTATCAACGATACATTTAGGACTTTCCAAAAATCACAAAGCCCCTATGCCACTTATTAAAGAAGGATGTGTCCTCTGACTTTGATGGCGCCTGTCTAGCTATCTTGAGACCCTTAAAGCTAAATTAGTCACTGCACCTATTATGATTGCACCAAACTGGCACTTTCCTTTTGAGCTAATGTGTGATGCTAGTGATTATGTTGAAGGAGTAATTCTAGGACAGCGGCGAGACAAGATTTTCCAAGTCATTTACTATGTCAGTAGGAACCTCAACGAAACCCAAATGAATTACACCACTACTGAGAAGGAACTCCTGGCCATAGTATTCGCACTTAACAAGTTTAGATCCTACCAGATAGTGTACATCTTCCCATTTTCTCCTAGCTTCCATCTTCCTTGCACTCCCCTCCACCTATCTCCCTGCCACCAGACCTCTTCCACCCCTGCTGCTAACGCCAGCTCACGTAACTACATCCTGCCGCTCAATCGGATACAACGTAACATTTCCTGTCCTAAGGTCACCGCCAGCCCTTCCCCATCCTCCTCTTGCTACCGTAAATCTACTTGCATCCCCACCAGGTGCCGCCTTCATCCTACAACCACCCGTGTTGCCGCCACCCTCTAGGCTCCCTTCCTGCTAGACCACAACTCCACTTACCAACCACACCTCTCCTAACCCTCTCACCGCAATCCATCGGCTGTCATGGCTCGCCCTAGTCGAAGAGTCGTGTCGTGTTGTATTTTCTTTCCTATTTTTGAGTCGTGATTGTAACAGTATCTGTTTTGAGTAATAATATTTACTTCCACTATGATGGTTTGGGTTAAGTCCAGTATCATAGGGTTGTGTAACTTGGAGGAACAAGCTCAAGTGCTAGTACTTTGGGAGAGAAACATGAACTACAAGTAGAAGGTGTTTTGAGCACTCATTATAGGAATAAAAATAAGCAGTTGAGAGAGCATGGAAATAAAAAGCAAAGCAAGAAGAAAGAATGGTTAATCATGCAAAGTTAAGCATGGAAGAGAGGCGATAGCAAGTATTGGGGGGAAAGAAGTGAGAAGTTAGAAAAGGATTGGTTTTTGTTGCACAAGGAGAGATAGAACAATGTGTGACAGAGAACACTAAGTGATCATGAGCATGGAGAAAAATAAAGCTTCAAGAGTGAAGCCAGGGATAGTAAGTCACACGAGTTATAAGTGCCATGAAGAGGGTAACATGAAAAGACTAGACCTAAAGAGCGTAGAGATATATGAGGGAAAATAACTATTACGAGGTGTTCAACACTAACGATTGAGAGAACCGGGAGAATTGTGTAATAGAGGAATTTAGAGGGAGTCAATGACCTCGTGCTAGGGACAAACTAAAGACAAAATGCCGCACACTATGTGTTAGAAGGGCGAGTCGTAGAAGAAATCATTGTAAGGGGCATGGATATAAATACAAACACACTTTTCTTATTAATAATCCACAAATATTATATGTATAAGACAAATAATAATGATAAAATACCAATTAAAAAGGATATATAATGATGAATCACTTTCTTCTATGAAATTTCAAGGGATATAGTTGTGGATCAGAGAGATATTGAAGGGAAATTTAAGTGAATCACATTGCTCATACCCAAGGCCATTGTCAGACCACCGATCGTATCTTGTAAGAGCTTTACTATTAGAAAAATTAGAAGTGTTAATTGTCAATATGATGTGCGCTAGGAGAATCACACCAGGTGTGGATTGCCACGGGACTTTGCGGCCTGGACCTGTCCACGAGAGTCGATCGACCTTTCCTTAACATGGATTTACCGCCTGTAGGGAGTGGGGTCCACTCCTTAATAGCCTAATAGTATATATGTAGTTTTTTCATATTTAGGTCAATTTTTGCCTGAATTTCTATCGAGACTGTTGCCAGCGTCTCTTTTCTCCCTTCGAGAGTTATATCTGAGAGTATATATGTAGTTTTTTAATGACACCTCATTGGTGTTTTTAGAAAACTTATCTGAACACCCTATTACCATCCCATACAACATATGGTACAGGTAGGCACATAATGACAAGTGCTTATTCGCAGGGAAAAATGAGTATCCTAGCTTTCAATATTTTTTCTTAGATAGATCAGATGATATATGCAAAGAATAAAAATAAAAAAATCAAATCCTAAGCTTTTAGCTGCAACAAGGAAGTAAATACCACGAAATTGATGCTATCATAAAATTTTACCGTGGCATGAGATGGCATAATGAGCCCACCTGGCTTTAGCCATTTATCCCGGGCAAAGATCACGCTTGGTAGCATTGTCTACAAAAGAAAAAAAAACCCCTATAAATCAAGATTTATAAAAAGCACTTAAGGAATGAGTTAAAGAATAACTTATTCCTCAAACTGTCATTTAATGCAACCATTTAATCTAAGAGAAATATTAAAAGTTATAAAATATTTAAAAAATTAAGAAACAATAAAACTAGAGTGCAAATGCACCTCATAGAGAAGCAAATAGCCCATCCACTCAGATATTATGACATCAACCATCTCTTCAATATCGACATCCTGTTATCATCAAGTTTAAAAGAAGATATACAACCAATTAATATGAACAAAGAAAACTTAAAGATGAAGATAACAAGTTGTTTGCATTGTGATAATTTTTGGAATTTCAAGTCAATTAAGTTAGCTACAGTTTGTAATTAGTTTTCATTAATTATGTTTCATTAATTTACATAAATGCCTAAGATGAAACACATGCCTAAAGTAATAAGTTGTTTACCTGCAACTTCTTAACGCAGGAATATTATCCTGCAAGTCTTTTTTCAAAAAATAACATATCAGCGGCTTCTAATTATTTGTGCCCTATTCTACCAAATATATTTGGGACTGTAGCTATTATTCAGCTTCTCTTAAAACTGTAACAACCTATACAAGACTAGCGTCAGCAATTTGATTTGATTTCAAAATTGGAGCAGAACCAAGATTGGTTCTTTACAGGGCTACACCAGCTAATGGTTTAGATAGATTTATATAAATACTTCTTATATATATTACCTGTGCAAGTATCTAGAAACAAGGGTGTTCTAGGACATGTCAAAATAAATTTGGCTTGAATAAAAATTTCCATTTTAAGAAATTTATGTTTTCTTCATCCTTCAGCGATTTTATTCCTTGATCAAGGGTGAAACTTGAAGCATTTAGGTAAGATAGTAAGAAGCCTAATCTAATCTTTTCCTCACTAATCTCTTATTTCCATAATTTGCGATTCATTTATGGTGCCATTAATCTATTTAGATTTGCTACACATTTGCCTTCATTTATATGCATGATATTTAATAATTGTAATTTACATGATTTTTCTTTCTTGTTTTGATTTCATTTGAAGATCAATTTTTTTCTGGAAGATTTTCTATCCATTCATCATCTTAAATAGTAATTAATTATTTATGTTAGATAGTTTGCTACCCCACAAATATTGCTTGGACTTTGTTGCATAAATTGTATGCATCTCACCTAGAAAATTTATTGAATAAGCCTCAACTATTTTTCTGTTATTCAAGCACTATTTTTCATGGTATAATTGCATTAAATACCCTAAAACCTCAAACATCCTTCATAGCATATGATGTTGTAATTGAGCAAAACAGATATCTATATTATCTCAAATATGCAAGAGACTCAAAAAAAAAAAAAAAACTGTCAAATAAAAAAAAAGAAAATAAAAATAATTGGATGTTATATATAGTCAATATTGACAAGGAACAGCCACCATTAGGTTTCAGATGAAAAATAAGTGTCATTAAAAGCGCCTTTTAGGAGCGAAGAGAAAATATACAGACTTGATGCATGCCATGCCATGATCACGAGCTCACCACAAAATGGTCTTGTTGTGCTGCTTTGCATCGTCATGCTGTGCATGTAACAAAATAAAAAGGCACATAAATTCACTAATTCTCACTAGTTATGATCTTCATTAAGATGCTATCAATTGGTTCTTCATTCCCACCGGGTGGAGCTAGTTGCTTCTTCGTGGTACTCGCAACCTATTGCTCTCTCGCCAGAGAGTTTCTTATATGCCCCTTACATGCTCATTTGTTCGCACTAGTAGCATCGTCTGAGCATGCTTATCAACAAATTTTTTTGTCGGAATTTTCAGTTGGTTTCTCATAGAAATTCAATTTACTTCTAAACCGATTAAAAAATCTAATGAAATACATTTCTAGTGGAAATTAGACAAAACTGTTCTCATTGCTGGAAAATAAAAATAAGTTAAAATTCGCCAAAAAAGTTGAATAAATTCCCTAGCACTACATCCTCCCATCATTTTCTCGTAATTTAGTGTTTATTGGAGCCCTGGCCGTCTATCGTTGCAATGACGTACTTCCTTGATTCTCATGGTAAATCTTCACTCTCCTAACATATTTCTTCTTAGGATTAAAACACTTACATAATTTTACTGTATTTTATTGTTATTGCATATTTGCAAATTAATGGCTATTACTCCTCTGCACAGCTTCCAAGTTCATCGTAATCACTTCTCTTCTTGTTTCACTTCAAAGTTATGCTTATAAAGTGATTGTTCTTTTTATTTGTTGTTTTTTTTTTTCCGTTCCGTTGCTAACTCCCTTGTTAGTGTTAGTGCTTTTTATTTTTATGGCATAAGATTGTACTATTTCTTTTCATTTGTGTTGTAAAGTTTATAGGGCTTAGGCCGTAAGATTGAGTTTTAAATTTTGGTTATGTTTTCAATCTTATGTTTGATAAATAAAGTTCCAAAAAAAAGGATTTAAAGTGAATTTTTTACCAAAAAATTCCCTTGAAGTGATCGTAATTTTCTTCGAAAAATCTAACAAAAACTACCAACAAAATTTCCCTAAAAAAGTCAACTAAAAATCCACCAAAAGCATGTTTCCAGTAATATGTTTGAGTCAGACATAGGTTTTAGGCTGGGAAGCACCAACACCACAAAACAGTCGTACCCATGTTTGACACGTGTCGAACACAAACACATTTTCAACATAGGTGGATATAAATCTGACACACCTGAAAACTTATCGGAGACTCGCTAGCATTCGACACTGCGGAAGACATGGCTTGACGCAGCATCGAGCGAGGAAGTAGGACACGGGAACTTAAAAGGGTGCTTGTCTTACCCCTAGGTCGAAGTAGAAGGTAAAGTGGCAACTCAAAATCGAAGCCGCAACATTCTCTAGCAGTCCTTGGCACCTCTCCAACATTCTCAAGCGGTCCTCAGTCTCCAACGAAGCTCTACATCGATTCACCCTACGTCGAAGCAACATATTGAGGTCGTCGAGCCGCCCTATGTTGAAGTATTTCGGAACTAAGTAGGTCGAAGCAAGCGATGAGATCATCGAGCCGGCCTTCGTGCAGCAGTCGGTCAACTTTTTTATTATGAAAATATTGAAAATAAATTTGAAATTTAATTTAAATATAAAAGGTATATAGTTTGGGTTTTGAAATTAGTATGTTATTTTTGAAAAATGAGACCTTTTGAAAAATGAGACCAAATGGATCACATTCGTCCAATAATTTACATAATTGTGCCCGATAACGCAAGCACTACACCTTCCCGAAAGATAAGTGTATACCTCGACAATAGACCAAATCCTACAAACTAAGAGATTTGTGACATCTGTTTGGTCTGCGAACATTTTATGTGTGACCGGTGTGACCGACAAATATGTTGGCTGATAAGTTCCCCTATCTAATATAAGGATTAGACAGGTCTTATATTTCCTCTGGTTTCAAGTTCCCTATAGAGGTAAGCCCTTATAGTTAATTACATCACAAATGACGGGAGTCACTTGAGAAAACTTTTGATAATGATCAGAGGTATTAGTCTTCAAGAATTCAGAGTTTAGGTCTTCATGGTAGGATGTGGAGAAGCAAGTGGGAGTAGCTCAAATATGAACAATTATTTTCAGGGGTCCAAAAGAAGGAAAAGGTAAGGGATGTCACAGATCCTAAGGAGAAACCTCAGTGACTTCCCAAACTATCTTAATGTGTGACTGAATTTTGACTGAATTTTTATTTAGGTGTTTAATCCTGCCAATTTTATTATTTGGGACTTACATTTGCATTATATCCGATTATGCAAATAGCCCATATCCGATTATGCAAATGATTATGCAAATAGCCCGCAAAGATAACAGGGTTTACGTCGTACCACCTGACAACCTCAGAACCTAGGCGAGTTAGGACTTACGCTGCACAACATGGTTGTACAAGAGCCTAAAGAGCGTGTGAGGATGCGTGTGAGGATTTACGTCGCAAGAGCGTGTGAGGATTTACGTCGCGCTGGGCGAGCTACCTCGAAGTCCTATGAGTTGTTATTTAGACTAAGGAAGATCCTCTTGTTGCTCGATCCCCTCTTGTTGCTCGATCCAAGCTCATCATCGTGCTGCCCACGAATTTAGCTCCGAACTTCCTGTCATAGCGATGACTCCAGGGTTTTAAGTGCTTGAGATTGGTGGTTTATGTTTCATAGTTTTGGTGTCAAAGTTTGGTTTTGTTTTTGTTTTTATTTTGGTTTCGGTTTTAGTTCTGATTTTGCATGCAGAATAAGCAAGTTGCAGGTAAATAAAAGATACTTGAAAAATAAACAGTAAATTAAAATGCTATAAATAAACTGTAAAAGTGTACCTGTGCATCTGCTACTATTGTGTGCTTAGCATTGCTAGCATAGTATGATTTAGAACATATTTAAATAAACTTGCAAGAAAAATAAGCAAAGCGAGAAAACCCAGCATGAAAGTCAGAAGAACGAGTCTTTGCAAAATATGAACAGGCAAAGAAAAATCTGTGGTAACATATGGAAGACCAAGACTACGTGTAAGACATCAGTAAATGTGGGGGCTCAGAGCTGTACTGTGTGTTTCTCAACCTTGTGTAAAAGTTATCAACCCGACAATCTACGGAAGGCAGTCCTTAACCTCAATCCAAGTGACTACCGGTGGACCTTTATAAATTTTCATAGAAAAATTATTTGATTTTCATGCAAAAGTTATTATTTAAGTTTATTTTATGCAGAGTTCTTTTTAATATGCAAAAGATATTTTTGTTTTATTTTTGTAAATAATAAAATCGTGTAGTCCACAGGCTAGTCACTCTAATCGTACTAAAATTACTAACAACCTAAGAGTGTCAAAGAAACCAATCCCACCAAGAATCGGCGAATAGTATCATCGGTCTTTTCCTCTCCCTTATTAAAAGTCATTGAGGTAGGAGATACTATTCTAATAATCTCACTTTGTACCCCTCGTTTAAGCACACATAAACAATGTCATCATCGCCTTCGCCACCTAGACCCTAGACTTATTATAGTCCAGAGATTCATATGTGGCATTAACAAATGTCTCCAATTGCCAGGAGTGTTTGAGTGTAATATTCAAGCTCAAATTCCAGTGCATTGGGTTTCACTGTAGGTTATTTCACTATTGATTTAATTAATGAAGCATGAACTACGTCTTTGTGCATTCTCATGTCTAGTGTCTTAATCAGTTTGTGAATCAGGGTCAAGTGCCTAGTTTATTATTCATTCG